TGGATATTAACTTTATATTTTTATTTAAAAAATAATTAAATAATTAAAAGTTATTAATTAAATTAATGTTATTAATTAATTAATTATTAAATATAAAAATGTAAAATCAATATTTTAAAGAAAAAAATTTTTAAAATTAAAATTAATAAAATTTATATTTTTAAATTTTTGGTACAGTTTTGTGTTGTTGAATTAAGAGAGGCTTGAATGCTGCTAGCTGTTGAAAGAAAAATTCCAAAATTTTTTTATGTCATCCAATCCTCTTTGGTGCCTCATAAATCATAATGCTGGTGAAAACTAATTGACATGCACCAATATCATGTTGTTGAATTTTTGGATGGACAAGGAAAGGATTGATAATCTTAATACTGGGACAAGAGAGATATTGTTTGTGCTGTTACTGAATTGATTTATTATTGCTTCCAAGCTTCAATTGCTGAAATTAGTTTTGTTTAAACTGTTGCTTTGGTTTCTTAGGCCTTGTGACTTGTTTTAAGATTTATGTTTGTCTAGATTTATTAATGTTGACTGACTTGTTTTTATACTAATAAACTCTATAAAGGTAAGGTACGGGAGAGAGTGAATGATCACCTTTTTCCAAGGTGTATCGGATGGAAGATTTTCGTTGATTTTAAGAACTTTTCCCAGTCATCACGCAAATAAAAATGTTATCTTTCAGCCACTTTTACTGGCAGAACTTGCTAGTTCCCATGTGGACGTGGGACCTGTTACCATTTTGTATTGTTTTTTCGGGTTTCTCGAGTTTTATTTATTGTCGACGAATATATTATTCCCTGCTTTTTCTAAGCATTTTCCAGGAAACTCCGTTCTTTTGTTTATGGGAGTAGCTGCCAGCTAGAAAGACTCCCAAGTATTTTCCAGGAAAACCGTTGGCTGCCTTTTTCTAAGCATTTTCTAGGAAGGCCGAAACCACTCTTTTGGGTGTTGCTACGAAGTATCATCAGTAGTTTCGGTGAGGAAATCATTCTTCATTGTTATAATGGCTTCTTCCCCATCTTAAACTCTCTCTTCATCCAGCACCTTGTTTCTTCTCTGCCAGCTTTAAGATCTTAATTTTCCAGGTACATACATACATACTTGCATATTCTACTATTTTCACTCTTGCATTTATTTGATGCGACACAAATTAAATTAAGAAAATTTCTAATTTCCTCAGTATGTATTTTTCTGCTCTTTATTTGATACCAGTTCTTCTCGCACCAAAATACCCCGCGCAAGAACTAAGCAGATCTGCCTGCTTTCTTTGTTATTTTAATCACACAAAGCCCTCTGAGTTGGGGACCAGGTATGATATAATTTTTTCTTTATTTTCTTGATGAAAGGGTATGATATATTTTTTCGTAAAAGAGTTTAGAGGTTAATATATTTTGCCTGTCAGAAACTCAAAGAATAAAAGTATATGGAGGAAAAATGGATTTATAGGCTTTATTCTTTTGGATTGGGCCATT